AATTAATACAATAGAGAATAATTTTTGTACAATATGAGATAAGGAATAATATTGTGGGAAATGCATTTTTGTCAAAATTGATTTTTTTATCAAATGCCGCTCGACGGATTCAAATGAAACAAACCAATGAAATATAACTTTAGGGTATTTTTAGAGTATTTATTAGAATGTGTCGAACTCTGCCGATAATTTTAATAATATTATAAATTTTCTTTTTAGTTTGTGCTTGAACCACGCAGAAGTTCTTGGCTGGAAATAATTAATGTGGGAAATATAGATACTAGAAGGAAACATATCTTTGTTTGTTAACTTTATTTTGAAGATTAATGTTTTAACCGAACAATAAATTAATAGTAAATCTACGTGATGGGGCCCTATCGCTACAAGCTCTATTGGTAAATCATAATGTAAACGATTCATTATGTGTTTTGTTATATTAGTTTTGGAAGCATTTTTTGAAGAGGTGCAAACTTAACATTTTATTTAACATTTATATTAAGTTCATAACTAACCGGGTTCTTGTACCTATATGTTTCTGTTTTCCTCCGCTATCTATCACTATCATTGTAATGTACAAACATTTTCGTTCAGAGCTTAGTACAGTACCTATAGAATCTATAGAAAAATCTATGTTCAATTGGATCAAGTAAGTTAAATTATACTATTTATGTTGCAGCCTCTAGCCAGATATGTGCATGAAAATGAACTTGGAACCAGTTCTGGAGTCTTCTCGAAAGATGGTTTTGCAGATTACATTACAGGGAAACACTACGAAAAATACGAAGATATTGTATATTATAAATCTTGATTTTATGAATACTTTGATACAGTTTTATTTTTCAACCCTCAAAAATTACTTAACCTTAAGTATATAAATATTGACCAGTTGATGGAAAATCCTTTTCATGAATTTCGATACATAAGTATCGTGAAAGTTATGATGTGAATGTATAGGCACGATCGACTGGAGTGACAGTGCACGCAGCAACTACTAAATATATTTCGCTAATATGTTGGTAATGTTTAGCAGCTACATAAAAATTAAATCCAGATGAATCATAAAATAATGATATTTTATTGATAAGTCAATTAAAACCAATTCTAAAATATCGATATTTCTACAGTTTTAAAAGTTACATCCCTAGTTCTATCCGCCATTACGGGTGACCAAGTGAAGTTTATGTAGGCACGATTTTTTCCTAGTTGTTTCTTATCCATACTCTTATCATATCAGTGATAAAAGCAGAGTAAAATTTTCACAAGTTGACGTTTGTAGTGTTGCCAGGTTATTATTATTATTATTATATTACTACTTTAATCTTTGCGATTCGGAATATTTTTTATCCTTGACTTCTGAACTGATTAACTTTTATGTCGCCTTGTTCCTTCCGCGCCATTTCTAGTTTAGATGATTGCTCTCAATTAAAAATATAGTTTGATACTCATTCAAGAATGAAATCTGGTTCCACCGCTTCCATTTAGTATAGGCGCACGGTCTACTTAAAATCATTGTGATGTAGCCTTAATATAATAATAATAAAGTTTTTACCTTCAGTCAACGTATGAATGTAAGCTTTATTTTTCACTTGAAAGAACTTGATAGATGTGAGTGCTTTGAATCTTGCTTGATGCAAGACTTTTTTCCTTAGTTCTGATGGAACTACTGTCTTCTCTAACCAATTATCATCTGTTAATTCGACTCCCTGGTAAATAAGTCGCTTCGTTATAATAACTGTTTCATTGATTTAGAATTTTAGAATGGAATTAATTATGGATCCATCGAAGAAATAAAAAGACATCTAGGTAATTTGAAGAACTCAAATATTTACCGAATTATATTGCCACTGTAATTCATAGAAAGCCATGATTCGAGATTTGATTGCTGGATGCATATTGTTTTCATTCATGAATTTGTCTATCGTTATGATAACTTCCAAGAAGGCTGTTTTCGTTCTATAAATTAATCATTTGATTACTTCTAAGGAATTGTGTGTCAATTGCTGTCTGAACTAATGTTAGGGACATTAATTTGCCACAACGAATTGATTCAAAACAATTTTTTGTTAAGTGTTTGCGATGATGTATTAGAATCGTATGTGGGTTGTTACCTTGACCAATGTGTGACAACAGCAGAGAACTCAGAAATACAGTATCCGGATAATAGAACACCGTAGAGACTAAGAAAGGCTATGAACGCCATGTCGTAGATATCTCCTGGAGTGTAGTCCCCATAACCCACAGAAAGAAAGATGGTAGTTGCAAAATATACAGAAGTTATAAGGGGATACTTAGTCCTGAAAGAAAAATTAGGCAATCACTTGAAACACTCAGATGATGGAAAATTTAATCATTTTCCACCTATCGCAAAAATATGATTTATTTATGAGCCTGGGTGCCATACAAACAAGGTATCTAAATGTAGTTGGTAACAGAAAACATGGATACTCTATGTACCAAGAGACCATCTGAAATTGTAATTACTGTTGTGTTTGAAATTAAATGAGTCATTAAAATAAATCATTCAGCGGAAAAGTTTATTAGAGAATAAAGTCCATGAATCATTAATCCTTGATTTAAAATAATGTATTACATATGTACCATTTTTGTTTCATACAGTACATTTGTATGGTTCACAAAAGTTTAGAAAATTAATGTTGTTTTGATAATTTTTAATATGAGTAGAAATAGTGAAAGTTTCCGTTTAGATATTACCTCACACGTTAATCTTCACACCTACTACACTTTTACCGTATAAGCTCCCGACGCTACTTTCGACAAACTGCTTCATTGCATCGACAAATGCGATTGCCGGAGACAAGATTTCATGTCCGGTGTTGGCGGTAGACTTGTATATATTACAATGGAATTCTTAACTAGTAAAAGATGAACTTGGAACACGAATCCAGGTAAAATTTGGAATAAAAGGATGAGTAAAGTATAGAGGAACTTGCTTTGAGATTCTAGCACCGCGTTGTTCGTCATCCCAAATCAGTGCTCTACTAAACCATGAGTTTTCTGAACATCGGTTCACAAAGCATGACTCCATGTATAATATAACGCCAGACCAGTAACATAGTAAGCAGATGTATACGCAATACTTCATTATCTGGAAGAAAAAAATATTTTATAATAACTATCGTGAGACATACTAAATTAACTAAAATGCGGGTTACTCACGTTAGAACTATTCAGCACGCTGCTCATGAGGAAGAACCCCTATGTGGTTCGAAACTAGTAGAGCTTTTCTCAGTAAATTCACGAGAGTAAGCGATTTTAGTTAAATAATAATTTGTACATGATGTCTTTTCAACAAAATATGTACATAGGTCATGTTTAATATTCCAATTTAGGTAGGTACAAATAGTAAAACATAATACACACCTTCACAAGTAACGAGTTCAATAATAATTTTCTTTCCAAGTTCTCAAAAAAACTGGACAGTCTCCATACTAAACATAGTTTAATACCTTTGCACAGGTAAAATAAGTGGTCTCTATAGTTATCGTGATATTGCACAGATTGATGAATGGTGACTATGTATTCGAACGGAATTATTGCTACAATGTCAAGATAAAAGCCAAGAGTGTTCATTCTATAATTTAAAATACTTCTGAAATCTTTTATATGCCTCTTCTTAGTCTTAACTGCAGTTACAGAAGTTATGAAAAGATTGAGTATCAACGACAATGTTATAATTATCTGGGTGTAGAAATAAATTCCAGCTGGAAACGTTCTCTTAAATCCAATAAAGTAAGGATAAATAATACTTATGCAAAAGACTATGCTGAGCATATACAATTCCCAATATTTGACTAGAGGACAGTCAGCTTCTAATATCCATGGAAATTTGGACTTGATACAAGTGAACATAGTCATTTTTTTCTTAACATGTTCCGATATAATGTACAATTCCAAGCAATTTTCATCAAGTTGGTCGTCCTTTGTCAAAGTGTCGACGTCTGATATTCCTGTTGGTGTTATAAAAATAAAAATTAGTTTGATATTTTGGATTAAAATATTCATAAAAACATTGTTCGTATCGTACTGCCAACCTTGAATATATCTCAATTTATCTTTTAAACATTTAATGCTGCTCTTCTTCCGATCTTTAGATGCGTAGATATTTAATGAGAACTCAGCATGTTCCCCTTGCTTCATTTTCTTCATTCGACTCCTGCTGATTCGCTCTTGAATTTCGTGGCGTATTGATTCAACGAGGTCTGGATAAGTGATCATTAGTTTTATGAAATTGGTCTTCTCTAGAACCTGACATTCGACGTATGTCGCTGCTTTTACTGTACATCGAGCTGTGAATATAAAAATTACCTTTTATAGTTCTTAATTTAAATGACTTAAATAATACAGAATTATATTTACCAGGTATGTTGTAAACTAGGGATATTTCCCCAAAGCAGGTCCCTGTGGCAAATGAAATCATTGGACTTTCATCATCTTCGTCAGACAATAGTTCTAATACGCCACTAGTGACGCATACCTGCAACAGTTATGTAGTAAGAAATAAAAGACCTTTATGATAAACAGCTATCTAATTAATATTTTAAATAGCTAATATACATGCAACCTTACCATAATAGTCTTGTTCTGGTTATGGCTGTATACTACATCTCCCGGTAAATAAAACTGGTGACTCATGTCTAAAGATAGCCTCCTAAGGAATGCTTCCGGTAGTTTCCTAAATATCAACGAGCTATATAGCGGAACGGCATTTAAGTCGTAGCAGATTTCCATTTGTAAAGGATAAGGAAGAAGTTTCAGTAGTTTAGGTTTGAAAACCCCGGATTTTTGGTACCAGAGATCTTCATAATACCTACAAGAATTTAAAGTATTTTGTAAGACCACCATCAAAAACTGAATTAGCCTTGAGTTGGGAACAGAAGTGGCTTACCCGATAATACGTTTCGTAGTGTCTGGATCCATTTTGATAAGCCTCAAGTGGTTCTTTATTTTCTTCAATTGTCGTACGTACTTCGATCGCCTTGTTGTAATGGTAATGAATTGTGAAGTTAAAGAACCCACAAAAACAACTGTCGTTAGCAGAAATCCGAGTAAAGTTGCTAATATGGCAATGACTCTCTCAGCGGTAGTCACCGGGTATAAATCTCCCAGGGCATTAGTAGTAAGAAACATGACTGACCAATATGTGCAGACATAATACCAATCTAGTGTCACCTCAGTAGGTAAATATATCGCTGCTAAAGACCACGAAGTACGAATTTTGTGTAAATTAAAACATCTATTGGCAAATAAAAACCATACACATGTCCAAGTATGTACAGAAAGAAAGAAAAGTATCAAATACTGCGACAGAAACGTTGTCCATTGATTGCTGCCTGCTTGGGATGATCTATTGTAGAAGTATTCTAAAATTCTATACACCCGCACGGTTGCTACCAAAGGTGCTACCGCATGAAAGTTGAACTGGACGTTTTTATCGTCTAATAAATACAAAAAGGAATATGGAACTGCCAATATAATATTAAGAGCTACTTTGAATGTTTCTGGTTCGACAAGATTCAAAGTTTTTCTCCATTTCCTAAAGAACTTCAATCCAACAATAATCACAACGTCGAAAGTAAAAATTAAATTGAAACACAATAAAATGACTATGGCACAAAACGGTCTTTCGTTAGATTTATAAAACGTATAAACACAAGTATCTAGAATATATGCAATGAATAGTGTTGTAAGTATGAATAATTTCCACGCAGGGTTAGAATATATTAACAGAAGTGTTCGTAGTTTGCTGTTAGTGGTAAATTCAGATCGTGTTTCTTGCAATATTGCATAAGTTTTCTGGTTTTTGTTTTTGTCAATCTCAAAGCGTACATTAGGAGCTGCACTTGTAGGAATGCCTGATAATTGGCGAAAGTCACTTTGCGTTGCTCTACGTCTGAACTTGTAAATATCAAAACGATCCTGACTTGAGTCGTCGTCAGCTGTAAAAATAAGAAAGCATATTCAATACAGTAATTCTGCAAAGGACTAACAAGTAGGTACCTATAAGCAAAATGAAATGAGGAACTTACACATTTTAAATCCACTAGACCTTTTATTTATTCACAGATAAATTGCTTCGGCTGAAATTTTGTCATCAGAATGATTTCAAGTCACCGAATCAGCAATTTAAAATTTTATGTGTCAAAATAAAAAATATTTTATCGTCTAGATGGTTTCAAAAGTCAAAATAAACTAGTAGGCATTTCTATCCCATAGCATTAATTTTAATAGTGACGTTGATTTACGAAGAAAACAGGAAGGGGAAAGAAAGTTTAGTTACCGACTACAAATAATAAAAATATGAGGGACTTAGTATTCCGACAAGGCATTTTTGTGTCATCGATGGTTAAGATCAAAGATGGGAAGCTTGTAGCAAATGGTCACACGATGGTAGGGTGACGCAATGTTTTCCTCGGCGCACAAATCGTAGGCCGAAAGCCGGACATGTAGATATCCAAGACGCAAAGCTGTGCGCACGGCACTCCAACCTACATACATGAACATAAAAATTGTTGCGGACTTGACGTTGTTTTAATTTAATATTGTGCACATGCTGTTTTTTGAAGAAAACACAACATAGGCAACACAGACGTTAACGATGCGTTGTCGATCAATAATTAACTTCAAATATATTTATTGCTAGTCTTTTTATGTGCGTTAATACTAACGACTTATGTTTACTGTTTTAGACTGCTGTTTTGATTGAAACTTTATGTCGGTACGATAAAATAGTCACTCTGCATTTGTGTTAAATTACGATAATACTAAAGTAAGCCGTTGAGATACAATGATTTGCCAAGTTTCTATTAGAATATGCAAGAACTCGGAATTGCTTGTAGCATTTGCAATGTAATGTTTTTATTATTGGCGGAGAGTCAGAAACATGATCTAAGTTAAATACTTGGTATCTTCGTATATCCATGTTCTATAGTGCCTAGATAATTAGAGTCCGAACGAGCTGCCATAGCCGGAGCGACCGCATAATCACGATGCTTTTATGGTAGTCAAGCCCGTGTATCGGTGAAAAATGTTGTCATAAAACGATTTTAAATACTTTTAGCATTTTCCAGTACATTTAATTCACTCTAAGCAGCCTTCTAGTTAGTTTGTTCTGTGGTAGGTATTAATTATTTAAGGAAAATTAGCTTTAAAGACGAAGATGCGACCATCTTCAGTAAAGGTATAAATGTTGCTGCAATGGGCTAAGCGTAATTAATCGTTGAGGCTTAATAATAAATACACCTAACTAGTATATGAGCTTGGCGAATGATTTTATGGAAAACAATAGATTACTATGTTGGATTTATGGTTATAAGTGTTATTTATCTTTTAATAAGTCTGCTTTAATGTGTGTTATGAAGCAATAAGTTTGAATGAGGCAATAATTGCTAACACATTAATTTAGCACGGAGATAAAACTAGGACCCTTCATTTAAGATATATATGTATGTAATAAAGCTTTCAATTCCGACATAATAGTGGAATATGGAGCGTGGAACTTGTGTGCTTAATCCGTTTAATTCGATAGATCCACAAGAACATCGAATAGGGGTCAATTATCCATTTATCCTTTTAACAGAATTGATAAAACGTAACTAACTTGGGTGATTTTAATTGATTGAATGTGCTGGCATTGTTAAAAACGAATTTGAACGGTGATATAAAGTTAATTTTTATCAGGGCAATTGGTGTTTAAGAAGATAATTAGAGGTTACCAAGAACTGACTGCTTCTTCTCAGATGTTGTCTGCAACTTTGCTCATACCTAAGTCGGATGAACTGGATAAGAAAAATGATTTTATTAGCAAAGTTGGATGAACACACCAAGAAAATAAACCTAGGTGCTATAATAGAAAGAATTGAAGGCTGAAAGGGTCATTTTTAAAGTTAAACAACTCTGGAACGTGGCTAAATGCTTTATAGTTTCCATGGTATGATGACGTTAGCTAATGTCATATTCATATTAGTAGGTACTTTCATTCTTGTATGTTTTATTTATGTATGTTCTCTACAAACTAAAATGTCTTAGTAGGTATTTAAATAATCTTAAAGTCACCATTAGTAACAAAAGACTGCGCAAGATAAATAGAAAATTAATGTTTTGGGTAATGCACAAACTGTTTAATTCGGTGGTTTACATGGAAACAAGAAGAGATGGTGAATGTGAATATTTGGAACGGAACATATTCTAAAGATGCATTTAAAATTCTGAACCGTGCAGAAATATCAATCAAGAATAGTCAAGAAGTAGGTAATTGCGAATCTACCTATTCTCTGATGATAGACAAAGTAAGACTAATTCAAAGTTGGTACTTCAGACAATTATCTCAATTCGTTTCTACAGTGTATTTTAAAACTTTAACCTTTTTCAAACAAACTTTTCGTTCATCTCACAATAGTAATTTCTGTAAACATTGACTAGAGAAGTTTACTTTCTATTAATTCCAAAAGCAATTGAAGTTTCTCTTACTTATCTACTTGTTTCCTCACAAGTACAAACATCATGATCGCAGATACAGTTAAAGCCCATAAAATTATACCAAAAAAGATATTTATTGAGCAATCACAGTCCGTTTATGTTCTTAGCACATTGCGCAACTTTAGTCTTAAATAATATAAAAACAATTTGCCATTCGCCCACTGTTTCCTTTTATGTAAAAAGAGAAAAAAACTCATCTCTAACTTGATGAAATTAATGTGGAGTGTAGGTGTTATAAGGAGGAGCTATGCTTACTTCAGTACGTCATTGAGGTGCATAAAGTAAATAAAAAAATATTTATCTTGTTTGTTTTAGTGAATAAAGGTCAAATTGCATTGATATACCTAAACCAAAAGTCACATTTGTTGCACATTAATAGCCACACCCATTATAATGGATATTTTTCTAAGTAATAAAGATTTCATGGGCATTTTTCATATTGAAAAGAAAATATTCTCTCTGAAATAATAGACTACCTTCAGTCTTGATTTGTAATAGGTTTAAAAAGTCCTTGAGTATAATTAGTCGTGACAAATCAACTACCGGAGCTACGATTGAAAAATAATGAATGACGATTGTAGTTTTACGCACCCACAGTCCTATTGTTTTATTCAGCTGGGTATAGAAACCATGGTAGTTCGAAAAAAATATTTTTTTTATTTTTAAGTGATTCTCAAAACGCTACTAGATGTTCGTTACTAAAATATCCCATGAAGCCCATGTTTGGCGAGCTGAAAAATATGCATTTTGTCACGCCCTCTGCCCTTATTTTCGGTCATCGTTCTTGTGAATGCATCACATCTACGATAGCTCATTTGGTTAAATTTATAAATATGCAATTCAATTAAATAACAATATATAAGTACTTAGATATAAATCATCTTAATTATACAGATACAAATGAACAATACAAGGCATACGTTTAATTTTTTCTATAAAATAATCTAACCAGAATATGCTTTTTTCTTTAAATTCATCGGTAAATTCATTTAAAATTACTAAAACAATACTTGTGCTGCTTCGTCATACATAAATTGAAATAACATAGTGAATAGTTACGGTCATGTCAACTCATATCATTATAGTTGTAACTGGGTTGGCTAGATGGCGACTGATTCGCATTTATTTTCTGTGGCGCTAGAGCGAGACAAACATACAGCGCTCAGGAGTTAGTGTGAGCGAGAGAACCGTATGTTATTATTACGCCTACACTGTGGACAGAAGTCGCACGCGCTCACAAAAAATCCATTCGACAAGAGCGCAGGCGCAGCGCTGTATTCACCCACAACTTCACTTCGGTCAACTTCGACTAGTGGTGATCGAAACTTCGATGTGTGTGGAAGTGAATTTAACTTTTCTAACATAATCTCACAAAAATAACAATAATCAGTAACTAAAGTACAATTATCTTATTTGATCGTGTTGGAATAAACATTTAACGTGTCGTTAGTTATATAAATAGTATTCATGATGTGTGATAATAACAGTCCTTCGACGCAAAGTATAGCGGACTACTTAGCTCAGTTGCTCAAAGACAGGAAGCAACTGGCTGCGTTCCCGAATGTTTTCATGCACATGGAGCGACTTCTGGATGAAGGTAGGTCAAAATCGTGTTGAACTATTTATAATACATCGGCTGCCGAGAGTACTAGTTCCTATCGTCGATGCTTGTCACCGAGGCGATCATAAATCGGATGCGTCGACAAATGTTACAACGCAAACGATATTAAGTTTATTTTTGTCTTCGCCCCGCCGAGTTATGGTCCAGTGGTGTTTGTAATGCGATCCTACATTTCGAAAAGCGAAGTAAAGCAGACCGTCTGTGCCGATTTGCGGTCAGCGGTCGTTAGATTGTCGCCGACGAAAGAGATCGGTGAAATGTACATGTACTAAACGAGTTTGGTGACTACGCTTATGTGTTTCATTTCACTGTCCACGCAGCTGTTGTAAATAAATCTTCAATTAGCTGAGTTATGATTTTGAGGTTATATTTTAAATGGGGACGCGCGAGATGAAGGATCACAGGCCCTGGGGGTAACCTGTTCGCAGGGCCGTATTCTTGCATTCCGCGCGAGTTGGTGGAATGTCGCCACTCTGTGTAGGTACCGTACGTCCACCATTCTCAGTCATACGAGATTTGTACGTAGCGCGGCGCAGGCGCACCGCTCCTTGTGCGATGTATAGCCTCGTTTTATTACTACACGTAACCAGTCCATGGATACTATGTAGCCCTTATCTTTGCTACTGAGCGCCTGCCGACTACACTCACTTGACGTTTGCAAATAAGTCCCGTAGCAATTTGAATATGTACTGTATTTTAATGATGGTATATTAGTGTTGGTATGTTTCTGACTCACTTGAATAAAGTAAGAATTATGATAAATAAAGTCATGCCATGTTTTTTGTGTATACCTACTCAAATTGTTTAAAATTGCTACAAGCTTAGTTTGCTTTTTACATGAATTAGGTATATGTGTAAATACAAGTATCTAACAAAACACTACTGACATGTGCCTCCTAGGTATATTATTTAGTCACCGTTTGTTCTAAGAATTAGTTTCTGTTTTCCTGAATTTGATTAGACTGGATCTATCGCGAATAAATGTCTGCGTTCCACTATGAAATGAAACTAATTCAATAACAGACTGGTTTAAAACGCTACAACTGAGTACTGGTACTTGTAGTTGAGCCCGGTCACTAACATAAGACCCTAATTGATATTAAGAGCCGGCTCATCGGCAGAGCATGTTAAGTTGTCTATGTTGTATTGATAGCAGAAATCTTCCGCTAGTCTACATTGTAGTAATGAATAGAAAGAAATATAAAGTCTAAATAAGTCTAGAAAACGTATTGTAAGACAACAGTGCTTACAGCTGTTGTACAAAGGAATATCAAACTATTTTTTATGAAATCTCCAGAATAATCTACTGACTTCAAAATATAGTCTCCAAAACGTTGAACACATACCTATAATGAGAAACCTAGAATTTCGAAGTAAAATAAATCGTTATTCAACCAATAAACAAACTAAGACAGGTAAAGGCAGCGACAGAATTCATTGAAAAGACGATGTGTTACTTTAAAACACATTACATACCCGAGTCACGTCTTACTGCAAAGCAAGGTCTATTCGACCGATACCTCTACATGTCATAATGTCGTAGCCATAACGATTTACTGTTAGCGTTGCCCTCTGGGATTAAAGGGTATGAATACATAGTAAGCAGTACGCAATCTACTACTCATATAAACTACCACTCCTTCATTGCTGTGATATGAATTAATATCACTTCTAGACTTTGGAAATTGTGCATGATTTAAATTTAATGACATGTTGATGTATACCAAAAGACTGGGAAGGTGAAGGGTCAGTTACAGTGACAACTACGAGAATCAATCTTTGTTGTGGTAGACATATTCTGGTGTGATGAAAAATAGAATCCGGTAGCATTCTGTTGAAGAAGCCTTTGTGTATGAAAAAAAGATGGTGTTGAATAAGTTCTTGAAAGTTTTGATTTTAACGGAATATGTTCATTCTCCTGAACAGATCTATACAAGAATTACAGTAAGATTATTAAATGAATTTTGCTGCTGAACGTAATGCTTCCTATATTGAAACTCGCAGATCAATCATTAAAAATTTCTTAAATCATTCCATTCTGTACAAGAAATATACACAAAATGCTTAGCTAACCAACGAACTGGCACAAACTAACAGTTCTATTTTGAAGAGGTAATGTTCTGAATATAGACGCAAAATATAAAGTAGACAAACAGTTTCTGTTATACTGAATCGTCAGCAGATGTCCTCATGTTCTTGTTGGTCTTATATTGTCCAATGTTTACTCGCATTTAAACGAGCACTTACGAAATAATGTCAGTAGCGCATGAATCTAATAAGATTGGTCTCGGTATGGCCCAAGTGGATTGAAATGTCCCATATCCAATGCTTTGTGCTAACACGTTTTTATTAAAAATGCCAACAACGATATTGTACTTAAATTGCGTGGATGTAATTTAAAAACACGTGCCTGACGATATTCTGCTTGCATCATTCTCGAAAACTTGTTGATTTAACATTTGCCTTAAAAAGTAAGAACTCTCAACTCGAGGGCTGACTCTTTAATTTCGTTTTGATAACATTGGTGAGAATTGAGTCACCCGACAACAGATTGGGAAATTCCGAGTCTTATTCATGGATATTAGCAAGTTTTTACATTTTTGTGTACCAAATAAGTAACGAGCTACATGGTCCACTATATCCATATTGTTTAAATTTTATGGTTTATTTGACATGTCATGCTGGACTACGGTGGGCACATACGACTTGACGAAAATATCGACGGCAAGCTGACAGCCGACAGGCGTGGCGTATCGCGTTACGCCGAACTAAGAAATTACGACGGCTATTTTCGTTAGACGCTGGAATATTAGGCAAATGAGTAAAATATAGTTCAATACAATTTCAACATTTATGAAACAAAAAATATATAAAAGTTTGTAACATCTCCGAAAGAGCGACGATCACAACGATGACTGACAACATGTTACGTTCGCTAATGGGTACCTGTAAAATGACAGTGTAAAATAATGCCATGTTTAGCATGTTCAGAATGTTATACGCCATTAAAAACCATGTTCCATCTGTTTGAATTTAAAGTTCATCAATAATAATAAGACATGATTTATCAAGATGTAATGGCTGACATTTTATAACACGGAATATTTGATAGTCACAAACAATACCTTTCGACCATTCAATGTTTACATATTGAATAAACTATTTGGCTGTTTGCATTCCATGAAGAACAGTAAGCATCACTAGATAACAATGCGCTAACCAAAGTAAACATACAAATTCGTCAATCAAAACATTATACAGATATAAACATATAGATTGGACATGTATTGATAGATAAAGGGACATCAATGAAACATCGCTTCATTTTTATCATACCTAACCTGATAGGAACAATATAAGTGGATAATAAAAACAGCAGATTTATAGATAAAATTTTATCAAATATGTTACACACACTTGATTTACAGATTAAACTACGATAAAAGATAAAAACAAGTTTAATAGCCTCAAGCATTGTTCTTATCGGAGAAAATATCAGCAGAGCGTTCTTTGTGAAAAAAAGATAAATTTATGCGTACTAAACGAAGGTACCTACATGTTATAATTATCTGATGTAGCTGCCGCAGAATTATTCAATACAAGTTCCACTGACCCTGTTTAAATGAAATCGAATTACATCGAACGAGTAATGCCTAGTACACACTTAATAATGCAATTATTGCGTTTTGATGCGTAGGCGCCACCTAGCTATGAAGCCGCTGCTTGGTTCCGCAACCCTATAGCAAAAGTGAGTCTTAGTTGGGTCATTATAAGGTTGCTTAGTATGCGATTAGGCGGCTGCGCCTACGTCGATGACCAAATGAGGGTAGCCGTGGGTAGCGTGGAGGTGTAGAAGCCAAGGTTGTTCCAGTCGCTTTCTGACACGTTATAACTTGTTGTGGGTTGCTTAATTGCAGAGATTCAAAGCAGTCCTCAATGTTATGCCATACAATCAATTTTGACTGTCAACCAACCTTACCCGAAGGCGCCAAATTGGGATGCAAAACAATTATTTTTGCATGATAAAAGTTAATATCATGATCCTCCTCGCCTTATTTAATGTTTATTATGAGTATATCATTATTCCAATATATCAAACTATCGAATAACTATTGATATGATTACTAATATGTATTGTTTTAATTGGGACCAATTAAATCCTCGATTTTATTATACTCATTTCTCATTCATTTGGATAACAGCAAAAAAAGAAAAACTATATACGACAAGAACTATCTTTTATGAAAAATGTGGCAACGCTTGCTTTCTTGCTTCCTTTGTATGAGGTACTTTAGAATATGTTACAGAAAGCAAATATTGACACGCGACTCATTATCGCGTCGACCTCGATAAGGCTACACTGCATCTCTGTAGAAAACTGGATCATACGAGACGTCTATTCTTCGTTCGTTCCCACGACACTGCCGCTGCGTATCTACGCTATAATATCTAAACCAACGTGATCGTTCTGCTAATGAGAGATATTTTTCTAAGGCCGTGACAATGTACCTACACTACACAGTACTTATGTAGGTACTACTAGTACTACATAACCGCTACATACGTGCCACAGCTGTGTCATTATTCTTCCCCATAAACCAGGAATGTTTGATACATTTTGAATGATAGTTTTAAAAGGGCGGCACTTTGGAATCAACTATGACATCTCTTAGGAATGTTAATGAAAATTGTAGGGCTATCATACTTAGTTGATACTATTTGATGCACAAAGAGAAGAATGTGTGGGCTATGCGTGAGTACTGTAATTTGAAATGAAAATCGATCGCTTCAGAATGCTGAGAGAACCAGTTCTGTGGGCGGAAGACATCGAGGCCTACGTGGAACTTCGAACAGTCCTTCAAATATTACTTTTACATTCGGACTCCATAATATAACCATTACACCATTCATTCTCCTACGCAGGTCACATGATTTATGGAATCTACGTTTAGAAATGTTGTTTTCATAATTTTAAA